GAGAGAGAGAGAGAGAGAAGGAAGGAAGGAAGGAAGGAAGGAAGGAAGGAAGGAAGGAGAGGGAGGGAGGAAGGAAGAAAGAATGAAAGTTTTAAAATAAAGTATAGCTACAAAGAGGAATGAAAACAAAAACACTGGGGCCGGAGGGATGGCTGTGCAGTTGAAAGCGCTTACTACTTTTGCTAAAGACCTGAGTTTGGTTCCTGCATGTATCCACCTACCTGAAAATTCACAACTGCCTGGAACTTCCGGGGTCTCTGATACCCAGTTCTGGCCTCTGTGGACATCTGATGTACACATGATATTCATACATACATGCAGGCACTCACACATGCATAAAATAAATGTAAAATTAAATTAAAATCTAAACCTTGGACAAGAATGGAGATTTTTTTTTAAAGCAGTGATGGCGTTTGTTAATATGTAAGGAACGAAGGACTTGAATGAAATTAACAACCAACAGAGACATTTCTTAGAGCGCTCTACTTACATTAAAAACATTGTTACATTTTTATTTTAGTTGCTTAGTGGAATGTGGGCATGTGTGTTTCACAGCACACATGTGGGTCCTGGGGATTGAACTCAGGCCGTCACGCTTGGCAACAGGTTCCTTTACCAACTGAGTAGCCATATCACCAGCCCCGGGGCGGGGGAATGTTTAAAAACCTTAGGGTAGAAACTGAGAAAAGTGTTAAAGAACTACTTCTTAAATTGGTAAATGGTTCTTTTTCCCAAGTCTGGGAGTGAGAGAGAGGTGAGTCCTCGTTCTGCAGGGGCCTTTGCTCTTGTAGATAGACCTCTGTGCTTGTATACGGTTCAAAAGCTGCCTCACGGAAGCAAGGACTACCATCAGGTAGGAGGGTGTTTTGTTTTATTAGAAGCAATGTAACAAGCTAACAATACAATATTGTTCTAGTAAAATTATACCCTAGGTAAAGAAGACTTTGAAGAGAGACTGCTCAGGTCTAGGGATGTGGGCGGCATGGTAGAACGCATGCTCAGTCCACACAAGGCCCCGTCAACCTCTGCTCCCAACTCCCAGCAAGTGGACTATTTAGTACCAGAGAGTGATCACAAATTTTTTTTTAAAGTTTCTGAATGATCTTAATACATATGCACATAACTGTTATATATGTGTATATGTGCTCATTTGTTTTAAAAGTACCTGAAAGGAGTTGTTGGCTAATTGGCTAAAAGCATTGGCTGTTCTTGCAGAGGACCTGGGTTTAGTTTCCTATACCCACAGGGCTGCTCAAATCCATCCGTAACCCCAGTGCTAGGATGATGCCCTCTTCTGACCTCTGTGGACACCAGGCATGCACATGGTACACACACACACACACACACACAGATGTGTGTATATAAAATATATACATGATACATATACACATATATAATGTAGGCAAAACTCATGCACATAAAATAAAATACAAGGATATATATATAAAATGTTTCAAAAATTTACATCTCTAGATGATAGAATTAGAAGTATTTTTGGTTAGGGACAGGATTATTTATTTAGCTTATAAATTCCTATACTGTGAGCATGTACTACTTCTTAACCAGCAAAAGCAGGAAGATGTCCAAGCAGAATGATGATACATCAGCAGAACCAGTCCATACTGAGTTGCAGACGTAGCTTTAGTTCTTCTGCCTGTTTTTTATTTTAAAGATGTGTTTATTGTTTGAGAGTGCTGTAATGTATTCATGTGAACCACACACATTCGTATGTCCTCAGGTCAGAAAAGGATGGACCACCATTTGGGGGTTAGGAACAAAACCTGGATCTTCTCAAGAGCAATGTGTGTTCTTCATTATTTGAGTCATCTCTCCAGCACCCACAGTGTGTTTTAAACTAGTAACTGTCATGTCATTATGGTCTACATTGCTAGAGGAAAACTGATCCGGCACCAAAGAAATATATAAACAATGAGACCAGGGCTATGCTGATTAAATCAGCCTCCTCAGCCCCAGGCTGCAGGGAAACACACAGACCTTGTGGCCAGGCAACATGACTGGGCTCTCAGACCAAGCTCCATCATGCATCTTCAGATACTGACGTGGGCTAGAGAGATGGCTCAGTGGTTAAAGCTTTTCCTGCTCTTCCAGAGGACTAGAGTTTGCTTCCCAACACCCACACCGTATAGCTCATAACTGCCTGTAACTCAAGCTCCAGGGGATCTGACACCCTCTTCTGACCTCTGCAGGTACCTGCACACACATTCATACATACATATATACACACACATACATACACACACACACACACACAGACGTGAATAAATATAAAAATACATAACTGTGGTTGGTTAACTGACTACAGACTCACTCATAGAGAAATGTGTAAATGTTCAAAACAGAATAGCTGCCAGGTAAGGTGGCGCACGCGTATGATCCATCACTCAGGAGGCAGAGGCAGGCAGATCTCCGTGAGTTTGAGGCCAGCCTGATCTACAGAGCTGGTTTTAGGACAGCCAGGGCTACACAGAAAAGCCCTGCCTCAAAACAAGACAAAATAAAACAAAAATAAAATAACTAGTCATTAATCAGTATTTTTTCGGGAGTTTGTTTAAATCTTGTCTTGAACCCACTTATCTGAAGAATTTTCTTTCCAGTTCCTGAGAGCAGAAATGGGACGAGACTACCAGCTGGCAAAAAAGTTATGTCAGATGAGTAAGTACGAACCACTCTTACCTTGTGCAGCTATTCCTCTGCTTCTAGAACAGATCCATAATGTGAAGATGGCTTGACTATCCCAGTCTAGTGACCTCTCCGCCAGTGTCTCTGAGATCCTTTAGAATGAATGAGTTCCGCTCATCCATGAACTAGCTCACTGTATCTAGAGCACCTCTGTATGTGTACGATTGATGTAGCAGACTGATTGCTGTCCTGGAAAACAGTCTCCATGACATAGGAGGCATAAATCGCTTTATGCTGCTAGCTTCAGAGGAGACTCAGGTGGCCTGGGAGTCTATACTAACTGAACACGTGTTTATTCCACAAATGTTCAGCCCTGCTTGTGTGGAAGGCACTGCGGGAGACCCTGGAAAATCAGGAGTCTACGGAAACCAATCCCACAGTCAGGTCTAGTGTTGGACAAACAATAGAGTAATAAGTAACTAGTGTGTCATGTCTGATAGGCGCCATGGAGCGAGCCAAAGTAAGGAAGAGGAGGAGCAGGTCCTCGAAGGCCAAACAGTTTCCATAGGATGGTCCGGAAGGCTTCATTCAGAGCTTGAGCACAGAACCGAAATGTAGGAAGTCAGACTGTGGGTATCCAGAGGAAGAAGGCACAGGGCAGGATGAACCACGGGTGTGCCGAGAGGGGAGGGGCCTGAGGCAGCTCCACAAACCAGTGTAGATCAAACTGGGCAAGAGACGGGTGCTAGCATGCAAGCCAGAGACACGGCATGGGCTCAGGCTGAGTGGGCATCACAGACCTTTCCCCAGCTGAAGGACCGTTTGCCCTGTGGTAGGTAGAAAACACTGGAAGCTTCTGATCGAAGGGGACATGGGGTCTACCTTATCTTTCTAGCTGGTGTTTGGTGGTTAGAATTACTCAGAATTGTTGTGGTTTTCTTAGTTGTTTAAGCAACGAGTGCTTTGTTGACTTTCTTAAATCTGTACTTGATAGTTTCATCAAGTTCAAAAATTTCTTACCTTTTCACATACTGCTTCTGCCCTGGCTGGTCACTCTCCTTTTCCTGGGTCTCCAGTTAACAGACAAAATGATGATGGTGATGGTGGTGATGATGGTGATGGTGGTGATGATGGTGATGGTGGTGATGGTGGTGATGATGGTGCCTAACATGTACCTTTCACTCATCCCTGAGTTTTAAATTTTAGATCTGGGGGCTGGAGAGATTGTTCACCAGTTAAAAGCACTGGCTGTTCTTCCAGAGGACCTAGGGTCAATTCCCAGCACCCACAGAACAGCTCACAATAGTTTGTGACTCCAGCTCCAGGTGATCAGACACCTTCACACAGACACACATGCAGACCAGACACCAGTGCACATAAAATAAAAATAAGTAAATTTTTACAGTTTAGTTCTATGCTTTGTTTTGAGCATTTTCTGTTGACCTGTTTTAGGAGTTTTGTACCTCCTTCCTTGTGTCTAGTCTGCTGCCAAAACTCTCCAGGGAGTGAATTTCAGAGATTCCACTTTCTGACTTTACAGTGTTTGATGATTTGGAAGTTCCCTTTCTCGGCTGGCATTTACTGTATTCCCAACTGCTCTGTCCACCTTCCCTTTTCTTACCTTTTGAAGCACAGGAATAGCTGATCTCATATTTGAGCCCATGAATTCCTAAGAATTGTTAGCATGTTCCACCAAAAAGGGCCCATCATCAGATAAACCTGGAAAACCATGATCCGGGTCTGTGAGCGGTTCAGGAACTCCTGTGGTTCCTCCTCCGTGTACACTGTACCACACTGTACCTCCTCAGCTGCATTTGACCTGGCTTCCCAAAGACATGTTAAGAAACAGGTGTGTGAGGAACAAGCTCTACAAAGCATCTTTGCCTCACAGAAGTGTCCAGACTGATGATAAGCATATGTTAGTCTAACTTAAAATACGGGAAGAAGTAGAGTTTTATAAGAATATTGGTTCAGAGTACACCTAAGGTTCTTGAAAGGAGCTTTTGAGCAGGCGTGTACTCCAGCTCAGACAGATGTGAGCGCTAGTGAGTTTAGTGATTCAGACAGCGTCACTGGCATGGGAAAGCCACAGGATCATTTCCTCTACGTCAATGGACCCTTGAACCATCCACAATTACCACACACACACACACACACAGACACACACAAACACACAGACACAACACATATGGACACACATGCAGACACACATACACACACAGAAACACACACAGAACACACACAGACACACAGATACACACACGGACACACACACATAGAGACACATAGACACACATGGACATATTCAGACACACACACAGACAAACACACACAGAACATACACAGACACACCCATGAACACACACATATACACACACAAACACACACACACACACACACACACACACACGAATAGCACACTTGGTGTTTCGGTGCCCCCTGGGGGCCACCAAGATACTGCATGCCAGTGACAAAAGCATGAGGAATATTCCTCAAGGCCGGTGGAAAAAAAGCATTTTGGAACAATAGGGTGACTCTGAACTGGAGCTGTGGCCTCCAGGATATTGGGAGCAGATCAACAAGCCCTCCAGAGAGTAGCCCAACAGAAGTAACACAGTTACAGCAAGAGTCAGCAAAAGAGTAGTTTACTTTAAAAAGTCGGGGCAGGGCAGGGAGTGGGGAGGAGATGGAAGCAGTCAGAGAATTTGCTTCTCAGAGAGCTTCCTTCGCTGGCCTGGGGAGGACGCTGCACTGAACAGGCTGTGTTCCATGACCAGGAGGTAGGAAATATGGAGAGCAGCATTCCACCTGTGAAACTCCAAAAGGAAGTGGAGAGCTTTCCTTGTTCTCAGATGTACATGTGACACAGTTGTGGACGTTCTTGCTTTGTGCTTTCGCCTGCTCTGGTTGACAGCTTCAGGCAGTCTCACTGTAAGGGGCTGTTTGCTGAAACGCTGGATATCAATAACGTGGATTCTGTTGTCCATTTTCAGTCCTAATCTATGAACCAGAAAATCCTGTGGCCAAGGAATTTTTCTCACTTATTGAAGAGATATTGCTGAAGGGTAATTTCAAATTTTGAAATTCTTTTTTCACATAGAACTGTAAATAGTGTTTAAAAAATGTTATGAGAGATTATGAAACTATATCTTCAGGGAATGTTAACTCAGTGGTTCGCAAACTTCCTGACGTTTCGACCCTTTAATACAGTTCTTTATGTTGTGGTGACCCCCAAACATAAAATTATTTTGATGCTATTTTATGACGAATTTTGCTACTATTATGAATCATAACATAAATATCTGTATATTGTGATGGGCTTAGGTGATCTCTGTGAAAGTTTTGATTCCCAAAGGTGGGTCAAGACCCACAGGTTAAGAACTACTGGTCTAAATGCATGTTTGAAATGATGAAGTAAAAATCAGCTTGTCTCCCATGATGGGAAAGGTGACTGCTCCATTGTCTCCATGGGATGGAACTGCCCACACAAGCCAGCTCCCTTGAACATGGAAACGCAGACTGTATCACCATGCCCATGTCTTACAGTAGTATGTGTCACAATTTCCAGTGAGACCAGAACCCTCTAAATCGCCCTAAGCCAATTCCCCCTATTCCATTTCAGAATTTCCTTTCCTTTTTACAAAGTTTGGTTAATTTGTTGTTGAGGCAGAGTATCAAGGCTAGCCCTGAAATCATGATCCTTCTGCCTCAGCTTCTTGAGTTCTGGGATTATACATGTACCATCATGGTGGGCTTCTTAAGGGTTTCATTGCCACTAGTAAGAGTTATTTTTATAGGCCTGTGCTTTAAGACAGTTCTGAACGCACAAACATCTACCTGCTAGTCAACATGACTACGCTGACTTCCTCATGCTATTTTAATTCCACATCAAGTTTAGCTCAGTTTTCACTGGTCTCAAAATGCACATTTGGTGGTAGAGGGAGTCGAGATCTAAGAGTTCTGGAAGAGAGGGACCCTGGGGGACATGGTTAGCATCTCTCTCCTCTCTGTGGCAGAGAAAGCTCAGGACGAGGAGGAGGAAGAGGACAGTGATGAGGACTTGAGCAGCGAGAGCGAGGTGGACAGCAGTGAGGATGGCAGCGAGGACAGCTCGGACGAGTGTGAGGACGGGTCCTAGCGGGCGCTGCCACCGTGAGAGTTATTTTCAAGAGTGTATACCATGCAAATCCAAATATAAAGTAGAGAGCTGCCGCTTAGTGTGACTGTGGCTTCTTAGGTGCAGAGTCTGAATGTTCTGCATTCTTAGTTTGAGCTTCTTGCCGATGCCCGAGGCTGGCCACTTAGAGAGGGAAGCATGGAAGAGATAGAATGTGCCAGGAACACAGAGAGAGTAGGTAGAGCATTATATAACCTTACAACCCTACGTAGTATTTATGTTACTATCCCCACTTTACAGATGAGCAAACCGGGGTGGTGAGGGTATATAGTTTTCTCCAGCAGGCATCCCCTAATTGCACTGTCTGGATTTGTCTCTGTGATATCATGGCTCAACAGCTGTGCTTTCAATCCCTTCCAATGACCACCACATCAAACCTTGAAAAAACGGAAATCACTGTTCCTGTAGCATGTGTCAGTATCTGCAATACACAGCTTCTGCTCCCTGGCAGAGAGTATAACTTCCATGTTCATCAAACAAGACTTCGATGTCTTTCATGATTATATCTCTAGCAACTGGGAAGTAGCTGGAAAATAAAGGTGTGTGTGTCTGTGTATGCACATGCATGTGCGTGTGCGTGCGTGCGCATGTGCATGCGTACGAGCGCTGACTTGGTGGCTTGGTAGGGACAGAATGACATGGTTCCGATTACTGCCCTAGGACAGGGCCAGCAGGTATGGCCTCCACAAGGGTCGATGACTACCTGAGGTTTGTTTGTATAATAATGTACATATTTTCACATTCCTCCAAGGAAAGTCCTCCCTGTTAATGTTAATGAGTCCATGAGAATCAGAGACGACGTGAGTCCTGGAGGCAAAGGTGTAGCTAATGTCTCGGCAAAATGGTAAAAACTGGGACCTTTAGGACAGCACTTAAGGATGTGGAAAAGAACTCTAAGAACATGAGTTCAAAAATATATAATTTCTCAACTAGGCAAAAATATAAGGATGCACTATGAATTGTATAAAGAGCATCACACATCTAAAGGACAGAGGCAGCTGCACCACGGGTCAGCTTGTCAGAAAGATACAGAGACAGGCAGATACAAACGCAGGCAGATTCCTGAGTTCAAGGTCAGCCCTGGACGGAGTAAATTGAGCTCTTGGCAAGGTTGGAATGGTAATCGTAGGGTGGGGTCCCACCCAGCTTGTTTATTGCCATGTTTAACAGAAACAGGTAGATTTCTGAATTCTTTTGCAATAAAAAAAAGAAAGAAAAAATGCTTGCTGTCTCCTAAGAATCAAAGGGCTGGGTCCCTGGATGCTGATTCACAGAATAATCAAAGGGGAGTCTGGAATAAATAACTAAATTGATACAGGTAGATACAAACCTGGGCTTTTGGTCTGCATGAGATGAGCTAGCAGAAAGGGATAGCAGTTCTTCTTTGGAAGTTTTCTCTAGGCAGAGCTGAGCTATCTGAAAACTTCTGGAGAGTGAAATCAGCTCTTCAAGAATTTTTTCTATCAGGATTTTTGATTTTAGTCAGAAAATCAATATAGAGAGAACACAGATCTTGTAAAAAAAAAAAAATTTGGAATTCTGACCTCCCAAGAATTACTTAGAAGCCGGCACAGCATTTTTGGAATATTTTCTAGCAGGTATCCAGAGAAGGCTGTCTGGAGAGCAAACAATGTTTTTAGAATTTTTTCTGGCTTTCGGATTTTGATCAGAAAATCAGAAAATTAGTTTTAGAATTTCTCTAACAGGATTTGTGACTCAGTCAAACAATCTAAGAATTTTTTTATAGTGTAAAGGTCTATGAAACCCCGGATTCAAATACTATGTAAATGCAGAAGTCCAGCATGCTGAGGTTGTCCCATTGCCAAGACAGAGACAACCAAGTGAGCTCACAGGTCTGATTTAAAGCACGTTAGGGGACTCCAGGGTAGGTGACCTTTATCATACTTTATCTCTAGGGACATTCCATTACTGGGCTTGGGGGTTGGAAACTGTTGAGGAGGAAGTCTGGAGCTGCTGCTGGCCTGGACTTGCCCAGCCCTGAACTGCTGGTTTACAGCCTGTCATGGAGTCAGCCTAGCCTTCTCGCTCTCTCTTTGTTTTTAGTTATTTTATTTATATGAGTACACTGTTACTCTCTTCAGACACACCAGAAGAGGGCATCGGATTCCATCCACTACAGATGGTTGTGAGCCACCATGTGGTTGCTGGGAATTGAACCCAGGACTTCTGGAAGAGCAGTCAGTGCTCTTAACCGCTGAGCCATCTCTCCAGCCCCAGCCTAGCCTTCTCAATAGCAATTTTTCTGACTTTGCTCAGAAAACCCATGAGCTATCCAGAGAGCTTTTAGAGTTTTTACTAGCAGAGAGAGCTGTCTCAAGCAGAAAGCTGGATGTGTCAACCATAAAGTTTTCAGAATATCAAGAGAAAGATGTCTAGAGCAGAGCAGAACAAACACACACACACACACACACACACACACACACACACACACACGCACGCACACACGGCGGGGGGGGGTGAGGGAAAGAGAGGGAGGAGAGAGGGAGCACAGAGCAGAGCAATCTGGAAAACTGTCTCAACATAACATAAACCACCAGCTTGGATCCACAATTTGACTTCAAGTCATTTGTTTTTGCCACTCTCAGACACCCCTTCCATCAGGAATCCCTCTCTAGGCAAGTCCTTGCCATGTGCATATGTATGCGTGTGTGTCTGTGTTTGTGTTTATATATAATCTCAATAAATAAAAAGAAAGAAAGATAAATGTATTTTTGATCCTACACTGGAAAGGCTTTATATTTAAGCATCAATTGATGTTATTTTTCTGATTCTGTATGTGTGACTTAGTGTGTGTGTGTGTGTCTGTGTGTGTGTGTGTGTGTGTGCCTGCCTGCCTGCCTGTCTGTCTGTCTGTCTGTCTCTCTGTTATCCTTGAATGGTCAATAAAAATGCCTATGGCTTGATGCTGGGCAAAAGAGAGGTAGGTAGGGTTTCAACTCCAGGACTATGAGGGAGAGGAGAGATGGTAGAAAGAGAAGAAGATGCCATGGGGTAAGTAAATCATGAAAGCATGGCCATGAGGGCTGGCCATTTGGAGTAGGAATGACCCAGAAGGAACATGGCAAATTATATCTCTGGGTTATTGATAAGGAAGGAGACAAAATAGCATAGAGGATTGATATCTGTCCAGCTCTAGTGCTTTTAAGGCTTATTATAAATATGAAAGTTTTGTGTCTTTCATCTGAGAAGTAAATGATTCAAGGCAGAGTAGAAACCCTCGTTAATATTAAATACAGTGAAGGAACAAACTTTGTGCATAACAGGATGGACTCTGAAATCAGGTAATAATTGCAAAGCTCCAGAGATGACAGAATGCCTAGAATTGTCAGGAAAACGGCAAAAAGAGCAGCATGAAACACCATTTCCATATTGAAGTCCAGGATCCTGGGGGCCTAAGCAGTGATAATGTAACAGGGCCCCAGACCTTAACAGGACTACCTCCATAACTGCCTTACCATCCACACATAGGAACCTAGCCTGCAGGCAACACCACCTGCCAAAAATGAAAATGAAAACCTAATCCATCAAAGTCCATAGTTCTCGAAAAGTCCCTAAATGTACTACTTGCATTTTCACTTTTGTGTAGTTCTACTTCTGGCTAACTGTTCTCGTTAGCTGAGCTATGTCAACCCAGGATGTGGTTTTTGTGCTTAAAAGCCCACCTGCTGAGAAAGGCTTGGGACTGCACTTTGGTCCCTAACACCCAGTGCAGTCCCTGGGCAGCTAATAAGACCTTCTGTTGGCTTGAACCCATGTCTGAGTGGTCTTCTCTGGTGGATACATCACAACAGGAGCACTGCAAAGACCTGGGCTTCACTAAGCCTGGGACGCTAGAAGTGCTTTGAGTCTAAGGTGGCAGGTTAGACCTGGGCCTAACTGTGGACGCGGACCTCAGAGAGCGTCACATAGAGGACATCCGTTGTGGATTCCAGTGTCACAGGCCATGGGGAGGGAGGAGACTGAGGGCATAGGGGCAGAACCTGAGATGTGGATGAAGTTTGAAAGTTAGTCCAATGATTTACCACAAATGAAAGGACAGGGACAGGGATAACTCCAAGATGTTTGCTTACACCAGCTAGAAAGACGGAGATGTCTCTCATTTACTGAGGTGGAAAAGGTCATAATACATTTGGGGGAAGAATTGAGAGTTTAATTTGAGATACTTAGAGCACTTGTTATTAAAAGATCTAAGTGGAAAAGCTCCACGAGACACATGGTCCTGTAATGTTGGGGGAAGAGATGAGTACTCATAAATAGGAATGACACTTAAAGTCACGTGACTAGATGAACTCGGAGAGGAGGAGAGGAGGAACTGCATAGTGTCGGTTCATCATAGAGGCTCCCTTCTCCTCCCATGTGAGTCTGAATTCCCCATCAGAATGTTGTCGTCTCCAGGAATTATGTCTCTGTGAGTCACACAACCTTTACGTCACTAAGAGGAGGAGCCCAGATCCGTCCCTGGATGATCAGCAGCTCCACTGAAAAGAGGGTAGGCTAACAAGCTTAGCCAGCAAATTTAGTGAGCTAATGGGCTGGGATCAGGTACCCAGGGCAGGGATGGAGGTGCCTGTTGAGCCCCACTGTTGAGCCAGGATGTGTTCAAGATGAGTTCAGCTTCAGCGGGGTTCAGGTCCCAACTAGGTTTGAAATTACTGAGAGAAGGATACAGACGGGGTCTGAGGGTGAATCAGAATAGCTTGTGCATTTATTGAAAAAAGGTTCCACCTTTATACTCTATATTTACATAGTGGCTTAATCCAGAGAAAAACCAGATCCACCATTTTGAGCCAACTTTGGAGCAAGATTTAATTAAATTCTGACCAAGATGGGCTTTGGTCAGGACCACTCCCTGGAATTCCCAGCCGAGTGACCCTGAGACATGGTGTTGGTCAGAAACTGTGTTTTTAAGGACAAACCCATAGGACCATCGTATTTTCCCA